GCCTGTAATCCCGCGCCTTTGGGAGGCTGAGGTGAGTGGATTGCCTGAGCCCTCGGGTTTGAGACCCACCTGGGCAGTGAGACCTCATCTCTACAATAAATCAAAAAATCAGCCGGGTGTGGTAGCGCATGCCTGTAATTCCGGCTACTTGGAAGGCTGAGGCGGAAGGATGCCGGACCCCAGCAGGCGAGACTGCAGTGACCGGGAGCGGCCACTGCACTCCAGTCTGGGCAACAGAGTGAGACTCCAACTCAAAAAAATAAAATAAAAAAATAAAAATAACACAGAGATGTTCTATATACCCGTCTCAGCTGCCCCAATGATAAATATCTTATATAACCAGAGTATGTTATCAAAACCAGGAAACTGACATTGTTATATTACCACTAACTAAACTACAAGTGATTGGTCACTTTGAGGTTTCCTGTCAGCCTCTATGTGTTTTCCTCCCCTCTCCTTCCGGGTTCTACTTTGGGCGTGTCAGTTACCTGGTTTGGGTACTGCTTCTCCAATAGAGTTACCACCCAGACTGACAATGTACATGCTGAAATAGATGAAGAAATATTTTTGATGATGGATGGACAAGGAGTTATTTTAAAGGAAACTAGAAATGTCAAGCCCTGACATTTGGAGACAGACAGTGTGGAGTCTTCAGATGACTTGATTTTTGGTTCTGTCTGTCGGAATTCTGAAGTGGGGAATGTGGTGCAGTCCAGTCTGGCAGCCTTGTTCTAGACCAGTGAGGCATTTATTTGTTTCTAGGTCTGGATTTAATCCTAATTACCTTTTGCTAAACAAAAAAAACTAACTGTATGTTTATCTAAAAGTATGCACTGGGGTCCTAATTTCCTGTTCAGTTAGTCCTGTTATAACACATTTGATTTTTTTTTTGGCACGTCAGAGTCTCTCTCTGTCACCCAGACTGGAGTTCAGTGGCACAATCACAACTACCTTGATCTGCTGGTTTCAGGTGATCCTTCCATCTCATCCTTCTAAGTAGCTGGTACTACAGGCATGCGCCACCATGCCCCACTAGTTTTTCTTTTTTTTTTTTTATGGTAGAGACAAGGTCTCACCAAATTGGCCAGGCTGGTCTTGAACCCCTGGGCTCAAGAAATCTTCTTGCCTTTGCCTCCCAAAGTGCTGGGATTACAGGCAGGAGCCACCATGCCTAGATAAATAGTTGATTTTTATGTTTCCTTTCTTTCAATTACTAGCACAGAAGGGTAATTCTAGGAAATGAAAAACTACTTACATTTGTTTTGGGATGTTGAAAAATCTTTATCAGCCGAAGTGCAACTTTGGTCTTAACACTTAATCAAACTTAAATGTTCTTGGTAGAATTCTCTACTCACTCTCTAGAGATATTTGTCATCTGATCTATATCCCTAAGGAAAAAGCTAACTTTTCACTTTTTATTATAGGGAGGGCAGAAAGAAGAAAGTTTTAACAATACATTTCAGATGAAATATTAGTTGACACTTCATTACAGTGGGAGAACCTGTCCTTAGGGGCTGAGCAATGCAAAAATTCTGTGTGAAATGCAGTTGGAGCTGGGTGATTTGGAAACTGGAAAAACCAGAAGGACACGAGAGGACTGCCTGGAGAATAGCTTCATCCTTACAGGTGCCAGGTGGTCAGCTCCTCTTTTGAGCTTGTATTATGCTGTTCCTCTAATTCTGCCTCTGGTCTGGAGGCCAGTGGGGATTATGTGGAACAGCACAGAGCGAAAAAGCTGCAGCCGCAGGGGAACATGAGCCTGTGTAGAGGGAAGGAGCAGGGACAGAGAAGACTGGGCAAGAGGGCTGGAATGGTGCTGGAATGGTGTCATCAGAGACAGGCACAGACCCAGACCTGACTGTGAAGGCAAGAAGGGCTTCCCAGTCTGCTGGTTTAATGTGTCAAGTGGTGCAGGAAAGCAGTGTGGCTGGGAAAGAGTGGGAAATGAGGAGTGTGTCTAAGGGCACGTGTTCTGGAGGTGCACCCAAGGATGGAACATGCACCCCAGACCTTCTCAGCAGAGATTGCACTTCCCATACCATGGTACAGCTTCATTGTCAGGCTGCTAACATTGGAGGTCTCCCTTGTTGGGGAGTTGGTGCACTGGCAGCTTAACACCCACACCAAGAATCCAGCCAGGAAAGTCAGCCCCTCCAAAATATGCTGACGGAACATTCCATTATTGCTAAGGCCCCTTCAGGAGTTTGTGGCATTTGAAATCCAGCATATTAGAGGCAGCGATAAAACATAATTCTGGACATTAATAGTATTACCCTCTTTCTTACTTCCCTCTCTTTCTGGAAAAAATGGAAAAAAATATTTCTTTTTAACATTTGCAGCCTTCCTTTGGGAAGGTGCACATGAATGTGTATGTATGTATGTTCCTGATCAATTTCTCTTACAATTTAATGCCAAGAGATTTCTTACTTCAGAACAGATATCCTCTTAGCAGACAAAGAGACCTATATATCTTACCTCATTTTCCTCTTTGCCTTCATGGCTGGAAAATTTGGGGTTAAATGTATATGCCCAAGGCTGTAGTCATCCAAATTCAAGTTTTAGCAGAATCTTCTATCTCTTTTATCCCCAAAGGAAATTGCTTTAAAATTTGACTTTTGGGGGAACTGAAGGCAGAGTTTTCCTTGTGTAGGAACATTTATGTGGTGTTTGTATACGTTATTTCATTTGACCCCACAATAATTAATATCCTCCCAACTTTACTGATGCAGAAACAGAGCAGCAAGTTAGTTGGAGGTTCCCAGAGTGCTTGGTGACCAAGTCTGAATCTGATCCCAGCTCTTCTGCTTTCAAACCCAGTGCCTGCTTCTACCCCATGGGTGCTTTCCAGCCTCCTGGAATCCAAGCCTAAATTCTCTATTTCCTGGTTTTAAAGTACCCATCTGTTAATTACTTATATTTTATAAAATGATAGAAGTAGATTCTGGATTTTAAAAAGGTATAACTGGGGACTTGGGGGAAGGAGGACAGGTGGCACTTGCAAAAAAAGTTATGATACAGGCAGAGGAGATATGATTGCAGGCTGTGTTCCTCTGGAGTCTGTTGTCTGCCCATGCGAGGTCCGGGGAGGGCTCTCCCTTCCCTCAATTTCCCCCTGCCCCTCCCTCCTCTATGATGTGGCATCCAACACCCTTTGGCGGAACTTGCTCCGTTTTCCTGATGGGAGCCAGAGACAGACACGGCGGCAGTCCAGAATTCATTCTGGAAGAAATCTTGAACATTCCTCTGTTTGAATCAGACTCTGATGATTTTTAAAAATAGGCTCATACCAATAGGCAACTCAAACGACATCAATCTTGAGGCGACTAGAACAGTACATGCAAAAACAAGTCCAGGGAAGCAGACTCTGAGCTGCCGCTCTGACTACAGAAAGTAATTATAATAATCATATTTAATCGGTGCAAACCTTTACTGTTATAAAACACTTCTCTCCCTCCAGAGTGCATCACAGCCTTAATCAATGCTATGAGTATTGTTTTTATTTCTGCTTTATATTTAAGGAAGCTGAGACTCAGGTTGCGCCTCTAGTCAGGGACAGAGCTGGAACTTAAGATCTTTTGACTGTCTGCTTTATCATGGTCTAGTTGGTGAAATATGCCTTGTCTGGGGTGAGAGGAGAAGAGAGCGCACAGAGGATTGAGTTCCCTATCCTGAAAGGTCAGGAAGGCTTTGGTCTGCTGGTTGTCAGCTTGAGGTGAAAGATTGGCTACTCTGAGATGTAGCTACTGGCCTATCAGGTATGGACCCCTTGGCAGAAGTGGGGCTGCCTTTGCTGTTGGGACTCTAAACACACAAACTACACATTTAAATGTGTGCCTCTAAACACACAAACAATGTATCCAAATTTCAAATGTGCAGGGACAGTTCTCCACTGGGTTAAATTGAAGGGCCTCTTGGCATTCCTGAAGGCTAACAAGTCCAAGGCAGACAGTGTTACCTGGTATGAGCTGAGCCTTGAAGTTGGTTCTGAGTGATTTGTTTTTAGAAATCATGAAATGTTATGGAGACCATTATCCTGGCGTGGGTCCTCCAGTTATTACCCTGACTTAAGCCTTTCTTTAAACCTTGTAGGGTGAGGTAGCAAGAGTCACGCCTCTCAGACACTGACTTTTCTCTTTGTTCTGAATTAATTCACCTTCTGAATTATTTCATCTGTCTCCAGCTATCTTATTTTAGAACCAATCATCATTTTCTTTCTTGTAACTGGTGGACAGATCTAACAATGTATTTTCTTTCTTTTCTTTTGTTCTTTTTCTTTTTGTTTTTTTTGATGGATGGAACTAAAATTCGGAATCTGTCTTTCTTATGTGTGTGTGTGTGTGTGTGTGTGTGTGTGTGTGTGTTTAATTTCTGATATAATGAGTTGTGCCTGGGATGTCCCAAAACATCAAATATGTCCAAAAAATAAATACTGTTGTCTAGTAAATGGCTAGGGAAATAGAAACAAAAACAGGAGACATGGCACAGGCATAAATATTTTTGTTTGTTGGGGTACTTTGAGTAACTGTCTGTATTTCTCTGCCCTCCCCTGCTTTGTCTCTGTATCTCCCCTTCCTGGTTCTTACTCACTCGCGCCCAGCCCCCCTCTTGCTAATTTCTTCCCTGCTTTCTGTTTCACACACACATTCCCATCTTGGCTGGGTCTTTTTCTGGAGTTGGTGGGCTACTCAACACCCAATTTATGTCGTAAAATTGTCCTGCTCCCTGTCCTCCAATTACTCAAGGATCCTTGTTGCTAAGAAGACAAAACACCACTAAGGAGTTTCCTTAGCAAACTGAGACCAGTGCTTGGGAAGGAGAACCCAGGGCTTCATCCCCAGGACCCTAGTCCCTTCAGGTACTCTACTTTCAAGAAAGCTATTTCTTCTGGGAGGCACACAATCACTACAGAAAAGTAGGAGGTGGGCCAGCTTTGAAAGCAAAAATCCATCCCTTAGCAGGTTATATGGCCCCTGACATGCATGATGTCTCTGTTGGTGCAGGTGACAAGACTACGTTCCAGCTACAGGTTCGCCAGGTGGAGGACTATCCCGTGGACTTGTACTACCTGATGGACCTCTCTCTGTCCATGAAAGATGACTTAGACAACATCCGGAACCTGGGCACCAAGCTGGCCGAGGAGATGAGGAAGCTCACTAGCAACTTCCGGTTGGGGTTCGGGTCTTTTGTTGACAAGGATATCTCTCCTTTCTCTTACACGGCACCGAGATACCAGACCAATCCATGCATTGGGTAAGTGGCCAATTGTCCTTCTGTTGGGTACTTCAGGGTGGAGGAATGGAGTAGCAGGAAAACTTAGCTCAAAGAAAGAATGAGGGAAGGTATATTTAGGAGGGGTGGCCAGACTTAGGAGTTTCATTTGATTAATGAGGGAAAGTTCTCTCCTTCCACTACATGTAAAAAAGTGAATGAACTGTTGCACAAGGTTGCAAAGATACAATGAGGATCACCCCTTTATTCTCCTGCCTGCCTCACACAGCACTGTTTTCTCACATAAATAGAATTTAGAGAATGCCCTCGGTGATAGACCTAAGGGATCAGGGAAAGAGCAGGCTGGACAACTTAAACTTTTCCCTTGTAGGTAGTAACTGAGATACTTGGGGATAAAGGAATTAAAATTTTGTCCCTGTTATTTATATAAATAACTATGACTTAGCTTGACAAAACCAAATGAAAATCCTGTTTTAGAGGCATAAGTTTTTTTTCAACATAAGCCAGATTACCTGAACTAGAAAATACTTGGCACATTATTAAAGAACTGGTGTCTCTAACTGCTGCAACAGAACAATTCCGTAGTGTAAAATGGCTCAAACTTACTAGAAGGTTCTTTCTTGCTCACTAAGTCCAACCGGGTCTCATAATTGGACACTTCTCCAGGCAGTGACTCAGGGACCCAGGCTCCTTTGATCTTTCTGTTTTATTGTCTTCTACACATGGTATCTAAGGTCCTCTTGCCTGGAGGATTATGCATAGAAGGATAGGCCTTTGCCATTTCTGCTCCCATATCCTACAGAACACAACTGAGCAAGGAGGCTGGAAACTAGATTAGTTATGCGCAGGAATCAGAGGAAATAGGATTGGTGGGCAAGTCTCTGCCATGGGATGTTTGTGTATATGTGTGTGAGGGTGGAAATCACATTCTTCAACCTTTTTTTTTTTTTTGAGTGGGTGTCTCACTCTGTCACCCAGGCTGAAGTCCAGTGGCACAATCATGGCTCACCACAGCCTTGACCTCCTGGGTTCAGGTGAGCCTTCTGCCTCAGCATCCCAGGTAGCTGGGGCTGCAGGCTCACACCACCAAGCCTGGCAAATTTTGTGTTGTTTTGTTTTGTTTTGTTTGTTTCCTTCTTTTTTGTAGAGATGAGGTCTTACTATGTTGCCCAGGCTGGCCTCGAACTCCTGAGCCCAAGCAATCCTCTCGCCTCAGCCTCTCAAAGTGCTGTGATTACAGGCATGAGCCATTGTGCCCGGCCCCTCAACCTTCTAACACAACCTCTACTAGAGTGGTTTCTTTCTTTTCTAGTCCTTCAAGTGTTCCCTTTAAATACTGAGATTATGCAATGTATGGTAACCTGCAGCTTTTTCTTGCCTCCTCCACATTCACCTATAGTGAGGCTTTGGAATATAAGCCCCAAAGCAGTCATTAGATAAGAAACAACTACGATTTAAGTTCTTTTTTTTTTTTTTTTTTTTTGAGTTGGAGTCTTACTTTGTCGCCCAGACTGGAGTGCAGTGGCCGCTCCCGGCCACTGCAGCCTTCACCTGCTGGGCTCTGGCAAGCCTTCCGCCTCAGCCTTCCAAGTAGCTGGAACTACATGCGTGCGCTACCATGCCCGGCTAATTTTTTGATTTATTGTAGAGATGAGGTCTTGCCAAGTTGCCCAGGTGGGTCTCGAACCCGTGGGCTCAGGCAATCCACTCACCTCAGCCTCCCAAGGCGCGGGATTACAGGCTGAGCCACCAAGCCTGGCTCGATTTAAGTTCTTATTAAATGTCGGGCCTAATACCAAACACTGTATATGGATGATCTCATTTAAATCTTTTAACAACCTGTTGAATCTCTTAACAACCTGTTGAAGTCTCTAAAGTAGATATAAGCCAAATTTTTACATTTATTTTTTCATTTTAGAATTGTGGGATACATGTGAGGATTTGCTGCATAAGTAGATTGCATGAAGGTGAGGTTTGGACTTCTAGTGAGCCTCCTCCCCCCAGTAGTGGACATGGTACCCAGTGGGTGATTGTGTGCCCCTTATCACCCCTTCCTTCATTCCTACACTAGTAGTAACCAATATTTGTTGTTCCCGCCTTTGTGCCCATGTTCCCAATGTTTAGTGCCCAGTTATAAGTGAGAACATGTGGTATTCAGATTTTTGTTTCTGTGACAGTTCACTTTGTATGATGGGCTCCAGCTGCATCCATGTTGCCGCAAAAAGACATGATTTTGTTCTTCTTTATGCCTGCATAGTATTCCATTATGTGTATGTACCACATTTTATTTATCCAGTCCACTTTCACTGGGCATTTGGGTTGGTTCCATGTGTTTGCTATTGTGAATAGTGTTTTGAAATGAACATATGTATGTGGGTGTCTTTTTGGTGGAGCGATCTATGTTCCTCTGAGTAAGTTCCTGGGAGTGGGAGTGTTGGGTCGAACGGTAGCTCAAGTTTTAGTTATTTGAGAAATTGCCACACTACTTTCCACAAAAGTTGAACTAGCTTACATTCCCAACAACAGTGTAGAAGTATTGTTTTTTTTCCACAGCCTCACCAACTTTTGACTTTTTAATGATAGCCATCCTGACCTGTGTGAGGTGGTATCTCACTATAGTTTTGATTTGCATTTCTTGGATGTTTAGTGAAGTTGAGCATTTTTTTCATGTTTGTAGTAAGCTAGATTTTAAAGATGAGGAAACTTAACATTCATGTTGTATATGAAAAAGATAAAAATAAAGATGAGGAAACAGGTTTAGAGAGAATAAATAACTTACCCAAGATTACACAAATAGTAAGGGGTAGACTTGAAATATGAATCCAGACAAACAGTCTGCCTCCCCATTAATATCAGACCTATTTTTCCCCATCCAAATCGCACTACAAAACCAATACTTTGCCTGAGGCTGAGTAATAATACCTACTCCAAAACCACCCTACCCCCACCCTCTGGGGCTTACCTAAGGATAATGATAGGCCATGCTGCAGTAAGATACAATCTCTAATCTCAGTGACTCAAAATAATGCATGTTTTTTTCTTGCTTGTGCAAAATCTGATGTGAGTTGAGCTGCTTTCCTTGGCAGCTCTCCTGCACACAGTGACTCAGGGATCCAGGCTCCTTTCTTCTTGTGATGTCATTTTCAGTTCTCGATCTCCTAGCTGTCACCGAGGGGAGAGAGCATGCCTCTCCACAAATCCTCTTTGGTGGCCTTGACAGCTCCCAGCGGGTTTGGGGTGATTGGGCAGTTGATAATGTGCTGGTGACATATATTCTTCTGAATCCTTTCTGATCCTTTTGTGTACTCTTCTAGAAGCTGACTTAGGTTTTCTCCAGGGTTTGGGAACTGATATTGGTGGGAAAATAAGACAAGAAAAAAATGTTTTAAATACAAATGAGACTAAGTTCTTTAACCAGGAAGAGGTACTGGGTGTTGTCATTTGCTGGGTTTAGTTTCCTCCTGACCAGGTGGCCACTGGGATTATTGTTACTTTGATCCTGTCTTTAAGGCCCTTTTCTGGTGCCACATGTCCTCTTGTTGCAGTCTTGCTTGCTAGGTGCAGTGACATCTTAACCAAAACTTTTTCAATTCATCTGGAATAGTGACTGTATCTGCTTCTTTTCACCTCTGCCCTGATTAGACCCTGTCTTCAGACAGGATGTGTCTATACTTCCATTCTTCCAAGGCCCATCCGCTAACTGAGGCACCAGATTGGAAGCTGGCAGAAGATCAAAGACTCACCACGGGCACTCAGCATTTGAGTGTTCAAGGTTATTACACATTGCTTATCATTATTTAAGTCCTCAGAGGCAGAGGCAGTTGTGAACAGTAAACTTCTTGACACTGAAAACCTGCTTGAGAGACAGCAAATTCAGTGAAGGTGCGTTCTGGGGGAAACGTCAGGGCTAAGTGATATGAATCTCTCTTATCTAGGCCGGGCAGTACAACAGGCAGTCACATTGTGGCTCTGTGAGCAGGCTGAGATGTGTCTCCCATCCTGGGTCTCCTCGGAGATTCCCTACTTCCCCACTGCTCCCTCGAGAGAAGGGTACAGTCCGGGGTCTGTAATCTGTTTGCTCCTATGCCTGATCTTCCTATACATGTCCTTTGTTTGCCTTTCTGTTTTGATGTTGGGAGCCGGCCACGGAGGCCCACCTGAACATTAGGGATCAAGGTGGGCTGTGGATTCTGAGACCACTAGGGTGTGTTCAGGAGCTGTTGGCCCATTTCCACTTTCCTTTTTTGCTATTTGGCACATCTCATCAGAAGGAGCTCTGCAGACCTAAGCTGAAGGCTCTGTGACTGTGACAGGCATGGCTAACTCTAGAAACTCATTGTTCCTGTTTCCCATGAACTGCGGTTTTGGCTTAGGTATTAGATATAATTCAAACTCAGGTCACATTTGGGAGGCTTCTATATGGTACAAGCTTCTTTATAAGATTTAAAAGTATATTTGTAGAATTAGTATATACATATTGAGAGCTGTTTTCAGCTTTAGATGGTATAGGTGATTATCTAGAGTTACCAGAAATGACCCAGCATGAACTTTGGACTGGGCCACATTCCTAAGGGCCCAGCATGTACTTTGAACTGGACTGCATTCTTTTAAACCAGTTTTTAGCTACAGTTAGTGTAGGGTTTTTCTACTTATTATAGAAATTGAATTTACTTTACTCATAGAAAGTATTGTAGAATAGGTCATGCTAATGTCAGGGAATTATGTTAGTTCAAGCATGATCAGACATGATATTTTAAGGTGGTTTTGGCCTTGGTACAATTTACAGTTTATATTTGGGTTTTATTTTTAGAAGCTTTATTGCTGATGATCAGCTTTATATATTAGGATTAGGAATTAGAAACTTTTATAGAAATTAAGATAGATATATAGGATTTTAGAATAGCCATTTTGTTAAGAGATTGTAATCAGTTGTTCCTAGAAATGGCCCAGCGTGATCTTTGGACTGGGTCACATTCTTTAGGAACTGGTTTGGGCTATAATTAAGAGTTTCTATCGTATAG